GACAGATAATGTGACCCTAACCACATGAATCTTAAGGAATCTGTCATTTTCACAGTGGTCATAAGTCAATTGCATGAAAAAAATTTTTTTATTGTGGTTGATTAAGCTTCAAAACCACAAAAATAATAAGCATTGCTGTTATAATAAACATAAACATTTCCTGTTATGTTTCTTTCTAGGCTGTGGTTTGTTGTTCTGGCTGTTGTTGTTGTTGTTGTTGTTTTAAAATGAGTGTCACTGGAATTTCTATGTAATTCTGGCTATTTGTTGAGCCACTAGAGACATTTGTTAAATCATGTAATGGACAGACCAGGAAGGAAGTATGAAGGCAGGATGTAGAGAAGGAAGGAAGGGGAGGGGATATAAGATCTGCTTCTCTCTCACTCTTTTTCTTCTTCTCAATTCTGTTTTCTTTCTTTCACACCTAAAACATAATCTTTGTCATCAAAAGCAGAAAGCACACAATGGATAAAGAGATGAAGTGAGAAATATGTTGAGGTCAGAAGGGTGAGAGAAAAGCTGTTATCTGGCATCTGTAACTGCCAGCACTGTTACATAACACTCGGTGGCAGAGAATAAGCAAAGGCTGGAGCACAGCTGAACACAATGAGATTTCAAAATTTAAATGAATTTTATTAGCAAAATCAATTATTAGTTACTCATGTACAATGTATAAGCATATTGATGTAATGCCCTAGATTCATATTGATTTTAGATCAGTAAATGAATATCGAGCGGAGAATATAAATTGGATCCACAGAAACACAAGACAAGACAATACCTGACTGTGCAAGGCCAAATTCACCTTATAGGCATTTTGTTCTCATGGAATGCAGCAGAATGCGTTTCTCTGGAATGGATGAAATAGAATAATGGAATGTATGTCCGTCTGCACCCTAATAGAATTTACGGCAGACTAATGAAATTCTAATGGAATGTACAGGATACCAGCTCATGTGTAGGGAATAGTTGCTTTCTGAAGCAAAGACCTAGAGCAGTTTTAGTTTGAAATGATACAATGAATTTGTAAACTTTGGTTTAAGCACTGTGTTCTGTTCATTGTTATTGTCCAGCTGGGGTTTGCTGAAGGTTTAAGTGAGACTCTACATCTGGTCCACCCTGCTGAAGGGCTGAGAAGGACAGATTACGGATCTTCAGGCCTTTATTTGTTGTTCAAGATCTGCCGAGGTCGACCATAACCAGTTGTGCCCGCCTGCGATGCCCCTTTGTTAGTGCCCATCTGTAGGCCGATTACATTCTGACCTTCTTTCAGCTGCTCCTCAGTGAACTCCCTCTTGTTCTCCTGGGATTTCCTGATGTAAAGATGAGAACAAATAACTCAGTAAACAAATATTCTACTGATAAAATGTTTGGGGTCAGTAATTTTTTTTTAAAGAAATTAATACTTTTATTAAACAGTTACGCATTAAATTGTTCAGACGTAAAAGTCATTAAAGGAGACATTAAGTAAAAGTAAAGTAAAAGACATTAATAATGTTACAAAAGATTTGTATTTCAAATAAATTCTGTTTTTTTATTATTTTGTATTCATCAAATAATCCTGAGAAATAAAATGTATCAGTTTCCACTAAAATATTACATAAAATATTTCGAACATTGATAATAATAATCAGAAATGTTTCTTGAGCAGCAAATTGGCATATTAGAATGATTTCTGAAGGATCATGTGACACTGAAGCCTGAAAACTGTTTACTGTATTTTTGATCAAATTAATACAGCCTTGGTGAGAAGAGACTTCTTTAAAAAAAATAAAATAAAATCTTACAGACCCCCAAACCTTTGAACAGCAGTGTACTCTTTTTTCAAGCAACTTTCACCCTTAAGGTGATATACACAGGGCAACTTTTTGAGCAATGGTGCTGGGCAATGTTGCTGTCAATGGGCAACCAGGTGAGACACAGGGCCCACAGCCGATCTAAATTATCCAGGTAGAAATTTGATGCCCATTCTCAATGGGAAAGTTGCCCGGCAACATTTCTCAAAAAAGTTGCCCCGTGTATCATCTTTAGCTACCAAAGAAACTGCATTCTATGACTGCATTCTATAAACTATTCTATGACGTTTTGTAGTATAAATAGTGTGAGTAGTGTGTTCACCATGAAAATTCCAAAAAGAAAAAGTGCACTTTAAATACCCGGATGATGCACTTAAAGAAAAAGCTTTAAATACCCGGATGATGCACTTAAATAACCGAAAAACGAAGTGTGGAATGTTGGACACTTCATGCACTCAACTGTCGCAGCTTTAATTACGTAGCAAAGGGGAAGGGACTATTAGACTCCGATTATTAATGACAAAATAAGCTTATATAATTCATACACTACATGATTGAGTACATAGTGCATAAGTACATAGTGTTTAAGTGCATAGTGTATTAGTGTATAGTGCGTCATTTGGGACGCAGCTACTGTCTCTCTCTACTGTCTCTTTTGTAATATTAATAATAGCATATTTCTATGAGACACACACTTATCTGTGTTTGCTGATTCCATGCTGGACACATTAAAAATGTCTGGCCAATAAGTGTTTGTAATCATGTTGCTATGACAATAAGCCACAACTGCAAAACGGTCAGTGCAGTGGCTTGTTTTTGTTATTTGGTCGCTATGGCAGCCGGTGTTCTGATGATTTGTGCTACCCTGTCCGATTTTGCTACCTCCCATTAAAACAGATGGTAGCATAATTCGATAGTGAAAAGTGCTACCTATCAGATTTTGCTTCCAGCATGATATTAATAAGGTGTGAGGCTTTATTAACATGTACACCTACCAAAACCCTAAACCTACCCTTACAGTAGGATAAATACAGTGTTGGTATCATAATCTGATAGGTAGCATTATTTGTCAGAACACCGGTTCATTTTGCGAACAGGAAGAGGAAACCACAACAACACTCACTTGTGGAACCAGCTAGGGTCACCGCGGTAACAGCCGTCATCCTTAGTAACAGCCAGACTCCCCAAAGACAGCAGTGTCATTTGCACAGCAGCAAGGTCCTTACCTACCCATACACAAACATATAGATCACAAAGAGATCAATACATGGTGCTTTTTTGGCAGTAAAATATAAAAATAAAAACTGATTCAAAATAATGATACATTCTATAATAGTTTATAAATAATGCTAAAATAACACTGTTATATGCCAGTTCTGTTTTTAATGGCATAATTTAGACAGATGAATCAAGGCAAGAGACATGTCAAGTTGACAGTTTTCTATTAACTAAATCCACTAAGATCGCATGTGAAAACAGGCACTCACCCTCCCACAGGTCAACTGTTTGAAACATGTCAGACTTGGTGACCCCATAGCGTTCGGCAGCACCAAGGAACTGAGAGATCTGCTCCATCTGTTTAAAAGCCATTGGAGAACTTTGGATCTTTTTCACAGGCTTTGAATCCTTACAGAGACTGTTAATCAGCTCACATAAAATCTACAAAGAGAGAACAGAAAAAGAGATGATTAAAATGATGAAAGGATTGTGTTGTGTTACAAAGACTTTAATGGAAGTGGTGGCTTACACATCCATCCTTAAGCCATTGCTGGAAGCCTTGTTTTCCAGGCTGAGGTTTTCCTACAGAATCCCCACACTGAGCGATGATCCAGTGCACCAGCCGCTCCTCCAGCTCTGGATCGTACTTCTTGTCAATTTTACTCTGCACCTCACGACTCAGACCATAGGATGGACCTTTATTTGCCATTTTGACTGAGAAAACATGCATACACAGTCATTTTTATTTTTCATTAGTTTCCACTTTGTGAGTTAGTTTTAGTTCAGTTTTATAGTTTAATTCAACTATAGTTTTAGAATTGTGTTAGCTGAAATCATTTAAATATTGGCATTTAATTTCTCAAGGACATCTAGTGTTATTGCTAGAATTATGTAGTGCCATTTTCATGTTTAATGCAGGAGGGTTGTAAAAATGGACAACATATATAGTATTCTGTATCATAAATTAAAATTACATTTTTATTTTATAAAAAAAAACTACATTTTTATTTTATTTTATTTTATTTTATTAAAAAAATAATAATAATAAGATTTGAGTTCAGTTTCACTTTTTCTAATTATGTTATCACTGGACCAAACCTGAACAAGAATAAGCAGTTGTGCTCTTTTTGTTTTAAGCTGCTATGATATCGCATGATCTGTTCAGGCAGGTTTGGTTTTACTGTTAAAAAGCCTGAATTTGTGTAGTCAGAGGATTTAGCTAAGTAAGGAGTATCTAACTGTGACTGCCATGAAAATTCCATTCTCGACAGTAATGCAAAGTTTCAATGCAAATATTGATGCACTCTGGTAATAACCTGCATTCACTGTAGTGTGTAGTCTTTAACAGAGCAACCTTAAAGGCAGGGTATGTGATTTTTCAAAAACACTTTAGAAAACTGATTCGGGCCGAATAGCAAAACAAACTTGTAGCCAATCAGCAACAAGGGGCGTGTCTACTCGTGATGTGGAGGAGAGAGCTACAACACAACACAACCTCTGAACTGGCAAAGACAGACATCTCAGATCGTAATCAGAAACTGCTGACCACTGAGTGTCAGAAATGCTGAAACCTGCTTTTGTGTCAAACTGCTGTTAGGCCATATTGGATTTATCAGGCCTTAATTTGAATTCATTACTGTTTCAGGCACCACTAAAATGCAAACACAACAGTATAGGCAAACTTACACAGATAGAATCAGAGAGACAAGGTAAAACTCAAAAGATAAATTTGTCAAAGTCCAACCCCAAAGTCATCTAAAGAAAACTGTGGCCTGTTTGCTAATCAGTCAAGAGTCAGAATTTGTGACTCTTTTGCAACATCCAAACACATAAAGCATACACTCTTTCTTCAGTTTTCTTGCTGTTTCCTATTGTTTCCAGTTTAGTGCATTCAGATTCCACAGCTATGAAACTGTTATAATATCAGACATTCACAAAGCTTTCATGCACATGTACACATCCTTGTGTGACGGATGTTAACAAGAGTGTGCACTCACAATCTAAATTAATGTATTTCACTAATGATCCTTCCTTTCAATTTTCATGTATTTACTTTATATTAGTTGTTCACGAAAACGTGATAATTTAATTTTGTACTTTATTTGTGTCATTTTTGGGAAAAGAGTTTTATATTAATTTTACGTCGTGACGTCATTTCTGTTCAGCCCGCGCTGCGTCCTCAGACCGCGTTGAGCACGCTGAGGAGAGGTAGGCAGTTAGTGGTGCTTCTTCAATATAAGCTTGTAAAAGTTATCAGAAGTTTTATGAAGTACCTAATATGCAAAAATATTATTGTTAAGAGTGTTATACATGTACTGGAAAGTGTTTTATTTGTGGATGGATGGGATTTAACAGTGTTATTACTGAGTACAGCGGTTTGAGTATATGTATGTGCATCAGTAGAACACGGTGATTTTTGCTAATTGATTAATTGGTGTTTAATCTGTCCAGGTGGGAAGAAAATCACAGAACGAAAACATTTCTCATTGTTGTACTCTTTCTCTTTACTCCATCCAGGTATATTTTATTGTTAATTTGATTTTCTATTCATGTTGTATCACTTTGTTCAATTCATCTATTCTAATTCATGGTTGATTTAAAATATGCTGCAGAAGATTATATCATATATTTGGATAAATGCTTGTAACCATTTATCTTGCACCGTATTTTTGATATCATTGTGATGTTCACTCAGACCGCGTTGAGCACGCTGAGGAGAGGTGGGAAGAAAATCACAGAACGAAACATTTCTCATTGTTGTACTCTTTCTCTTTACTCCATCCAGTATCTACATGCTCCATGTTAATAAACCCTCCATTAGCAGCAGTTCCCGTGATCCGTCTCTTCATTTATAACACAACGCAGACCGTGATAGTGACAGTTTGGGGGGGGGACCGGTTACACTTGTCATGTACACATCACTGCTATGGGTGATATATGCAAAAAGACAAGTTACAACCTGCTGTGCCCATGTTTGTAGAGGAGGTGAGGGGTGTGTGTCTGTCTGTCTGCATTTCACAGTCCAATTAGTTCACATCCGGTGAGGATTTCTTTTATTTGTAAGCAGTAGATCAAATACACAAACATATGAGCACACCTGGAGTCTCATATCTCAAATTACGTAACAATCTTTCATCTTATCTGCTATTTGGCTTCAGGCTCAAAATCATGGCTACAGTAAGACTCCCTCTTCAGCTCTTAGTAATATCCTGTAAGAATGAGATATGGTATGTAAGCAAACACTTTTGATATGGTAAATGGAAAGAAATAATTAAGAATGACTTTGTGTTATTCAAATTTGTTATGGTTTGTCAAACCCAAGTCCTCAGACACAGGAAACCAGAGGCATTTAGAGGAGCTGGTTTCAGTTCAGAACCAAAAGCATTTTTACAGAGATCTTATACTCTCACTTGAATTTCGAGAGAGAGAGAGAGAAAGAGAGAGAGAGAGAGGAGTATAAAGAACAACCCTCATTTGAAGGGGAAAAACATGTGCGTCATGCAGCCAGATTTTTTTTATTCGGTTTTGGAGTATGCAGTTTCAGTGTGTGTTTGTGTGTAAGACAAAGAGAAATGACATGGAGAAGAACGAAATTGCAACATCATCAGCTACTGCCAATAAAAACTTGTTTATAGAGACAGAGCATGTAAAAACAGGCAGAGGCATTCAACAGTATTCTGAAGAATGATCTAAATAATGAGAGCTCTTCTTCATTCAGATGTCATTCACTGGTATAGTCAGTTTGTACCACTAAATAACATCTCTAATGCTAAAACTCTCTCGGTCTGTCATTCTTTCTAACTTGTTCACTGTCCGCTCTTGGTCTTGGCATGTACATATTTATGTTCAAACTCATGTTAACTTAGCAAAATGTAGGTTTATATGTACAGTACTTACCAGTTTATGTGTAGAAACCCTGCTCAGTAGTCTTGATATGAAAATGCGTATTCTGTGATGCACACAACTGTGTGTGTGTCTATGTGAAAGAGAGTCTCTTCCCCTTTATGATAGAGTTTAGGGTCCAAACTCAGGGAGTGCCACCCTCATGGAAATGACTTCAGCATGAGTGAGACCAGGCATGAGAAAGAGGGAGTGAAGGACAGAGCAAGAAAGGCAAAAGAGGAGGTAACCACATCCATAAAAGGTCATGACTTTTTTAGAAATCTCTCTCTCCACCATTTCTGCCCCTCCCTTCCTCTCTCATTTTCCTGTATTGCAATGTGCGTCCTTATTTGGGAGAGGGAAAAGAAGCAGTCTGGACAGAGCGAGGAATTTCTTCACATGCCTTCTCCTTCACTCCGCCCAGAGCAATGGGAAGATGGCGAGAGGAATGATACGGGCATGAATGAGAATATCTTGGCAATTTTCTATGGGGCTGCTGATTAGAAGGTTTGCTGAAACAGGAAGTCACAGAGTAGACACATGGCAACCGAATGCAAAATGAAACGGGACAGGGAAACTGGGACAGTAAATGTGACAGAAGTGAGAGAAAGAGAGAATGTCAGACAGACATGCATACCACTCCTGACATGCCATGACATCACTGGACAAAGTGAGCTGAGCTGAGCTGTACTGATGTCATGATCTAACTTCTGCTTCCATAGTAACAGAATTGAGTCACTTCCCTTTGCTTTTATACTTGTTTCTATACAAAAATATTGTCTCAAGTTTAGTTTACTGTGTTCCAGGTATAATATATTTATAGGTATGTTGATGGGGCTTTTCATGCTTGATGTGGTTCATTCCAAGTTCCAGGTTAACAGAGTCTTGTGTTGTCTTGCTTTACATTTCACACTGCTCATAGTTTACCCAGAGTTAATAATTAATCCTGGGTATTCATAATCTAACGTTTCACACGGTACATTCCTAAACTCCGGGTTAACATTCGTATGTGCAGATGTGCTGTGTCAGTGTCATTGTTTTGGTGAACTCAGCACGCGACCTGTTTACATAAAGGCTCTTTCATTGTGCATCCACATATTATATGTTACAGACTGTACTGTCAAGTTTTTCCTGAATTAACTTTTCGGACTATAAGCGTAAGCATGAAACAGTCTCTTCTTCACTCCAATTTGACCACCATTTGACATTTTTCCAAAACTACTGTTTATATGTGTTTCTGTCACTGTCCAAAGTACGTGAATTTGAGGCATGTGATTGGTTGTCTGTGTCTAGCTGTAAGTCTGGCTATGCAATGTGGGCTTCACATCTCAAAAAAAGATACTAACCCTGCTCTAGAGCGATAATTTGGCGAAACATCGCTATGTTTACAACAATGTCACTCATTGCAATTTCGAGAGTGAGTTCTGTTACGTACACACACAAAACTGTAATATAGGGGATTCACTCCTGTATTTAACTGCAGCTGTCCTGAACCTTTACAGTGTGTACGTGGCCCATGAAAATATATTGTTGGATTAACTAAATGGTTTCAATATGGATATAGACATATTAACTGTGGTCATGCCATCTGCGCTTCAAGTGTCTGATGTTGGAAATCATGTCATTTTTACTATGTTCACTGTGTTACCTTGAAAACCAGCTTGTTGAAGCGAGGTCTAAACTGAGCTTGTTGCACTTGTTGAGATTGATCAGTGGAAGAGGCCTTACAGGGCTGTGTCATACACTGGTCTGATGTGAGATGAGATAACAGTGGAGCTGGGTGGAGTTCCCCTCTCTCTCATTCACACATTCACACACAAATTATGGTTTTACTATACTACTGTTCAGTTTGGGGTCAGTACGTTTTTCCCTTTTATTCAGCATGGATAAAATAATTAATTTCTTTAAAATTCTTAAAGTGTTAAACAGAGGCCATAACAATGATTTTCTCCACTAATCTTAGTTTATTCTATTGAACATATAATGATAACATCCCTGCCTGTGTGTTTGTGTTGTGTGTGTGTTTGAATGCGTATGCAGCTCTGCAGTGCTGTTTTAGCTATCAGTAGGATAAAGTTAGTATCCGCTAAAGATGTTTCGGCCCCATATGTCACCACAGATTTCTCTTCCAGACATGGGCTGTGCGTAAACCTGCTCTCCAGCTCTAAAAGACCGAACAGGATTTGTGTGGCGGTTTCTTCTGCATCCTCCCTGTCGTCCTCCCCTATACAGTCTATGGTCCTCCCACGCAGCGACCTCAGAACGTCCCTGTCTCACTAGTGCCACCCGCTGGTACAAACGCTGTCCTTCAGATCCTTTGTTTGAGTACACTGTAAGGCCAGAGCCATAGAAAGAGAGAGTTGCGTCAACGGAAGTCCAAAACGCTCGATCGTCACGTGATTCACGTAGACCTCAAATAGTTCCAGGAACTTCATAGCGGGCAATTGAAATACATTGAGTTGGAGAGACAGAACTGTGATTTTTGGTAATTAATTATTAGCTGTGCTGATAATATACAATTTTGTTCTATGTCTTACCTTTTAAAAGTTCGTCACAGCGGTCTCTTCTGCTGCATCTCTACGGCGCTGATAGTATGAGCGCTAACTTCCGGGAACTATTGAGCGGCTCCACGATCCGCCATTGCTGTAAAAAAAAAAAACTGGTCCATTGGAGTGAACGGAGTTGTCACAACTCTCTCTCTCTACAGCTCTGTGTAAGGCTAAAGGAGAAGACGCCCGCACAAGGAGCCGTGAAGATGCCTGAATGAGTCACACACAGATTGATTGTGTGCATTTTTATACATTCGTATGTATGTGTGAGAGAGGATATGCACATTTGGTATATTCATCATATACCAAATTACTACATTTGTTTAACATTTATTTGTTCTTTGAAATGTTATTAGTGAATTACTTTATTTATTCTAAATAATAACATGGAATCATTTCTTAAGGTTTTTTTTAACTACTTTTAGTAGTTTTTTTAACTACTAAAACTGAAATAAATTAAAGCTATATAGAGATATTTTAAAAAATAATAAAAGTATAAACAAGAATACTAAAACTTAAACTAAATTTTAATATTAAGTGCTATAATGCTATGTTAAAGGGGTCATATGATGCTGCTAAAAAGAACATTATTTTGTGTATTTGGTGTAATGAAATGTGTTTATGCGGTTTAAAGTAAAAAAAACACATTATTTTCCACATACTGTACATTATTGTTTCTCCTCTATGCCCCGCCTTTTTGAAACGCGTCGATTTTTACAAAACTTGAGAACGGCGGTCCCGGCGGATCCGATGAAGGAGCGGTGAAAACGGTGAAAGCATATCCGGTGATCCACAGCACTAAGTTGATGTATTTCCTCAGCGACCAGCACGGATCAGCTCTAGGCATGACGAAGCGGATATCGTCCTCTTTTGGAAGACCAAACAAAGTAGTTTTGCTTTCACAACGAAACACACAGCGTCTCGACATGGCGGCATCAATACTACAGCGAGAATAAAAGTTACGCTTTCTTTCTTTGCGTGAACATTTGGGGGCTTTATGCAAATCTTCCCACATAGTGAGGTAGATATGTGGGGGCGTGTTCGAACGAGCCGTTTTAGGTAGGTGTGGCTAACTCTTAACTTTTATAAAGAATATCTCTTTGGATTTGAGACTTTAGTCTTTGCAACTTTACAGATCTTCTTTATGCACCAAGAGCTTGTAACACTCTAAAGAGAAAGGAAAAAATGAAATCGCATCATATGACCCCTTTAATAGTAAAATACTAATACTAGGCCTATATACTATAGCAGTGGTTCCCAACCTTTTTTCCATGGTGCACTGAATTGTTTGCTACGGAGCCCCTAAAGGGACATGGTGGTGGAAAAAAATCAGACTGAGTGAAAAAATTTGGGGTGGGAGGAAAAAATATTTGTCAGATTTTTTGCGTTCTCTCGCAAAACTTTTGCGTTCCCTCGAGAAACTTTGCGTTCCCTCGCAAAACGCAAATATCTTTTGCGAGAGAACGCAAAAGGGAACGCAAATATCTTTGCGAGAGAATGCAAAAGTTTTGCGAGAGAATGCAAAAGTTTTGCGAGAGAATGCAAAAGTTTTGCGAGAGAATGCAAAAGTTTTGCGAGAGAATGCAAAAGTTTTGCGAGAGAATGCAAAAGTTTTGCGAGAGAATGCAAAAGTTTTGCGAGAGAATGCAAAAGTTTTGCGAGAGAATGCAAAAGTTTTGCGAGAGAATGCAAAAGTTTTGCGAGAGAATGCAAAAGTTTTGCGAGAGAATGCAAAAGTTTTGCGAGAGAATGCAAAAGTTTTGCGAGAGAATGCAAAAGTTTTGCGAGAGAACGCAAAAAATCTGACAAATATTTTTTCCTCCCACCCCAAATTTTTTCACTCAGTCTGATTTTTTTCCACCACCATGTCCCTTTAGGGGCTCCGTAGTTTGCAGCTGTTTATCGTGTCAATTAATATTTGCTATTCATTCTAGGAAACAAAACTAAAGAAAACTGTCTGCGATGAAGTAGATGAAAAGTATCAAAATATGGGGGTAGTTTTTAAAAATATATATTTATTTATTTATTTGTTTGTTTATTTGGATGAGGGAGCCCTGGAAAATGCCACTGGTCCTGCCCAAAACTCATGACATTGGTTGAGCCAATGTTACTGTCGGCTGTTCAAACAGTTTGAGCAATCTACAAATGCCTTCCATGTATCTTTTTCTGCATTTTAAGCCAGGATCTGAGAAAGTATTTTGACACTGAAAAATTGTAGTTCAGCTTGAACTTTTAATATAAAGAACTTTCAGCTACTTTGTTACAACTTTGAGCTCACAGCTCAGTTTGAGAGAGAACATTCACCTCTTCAGGGAAGCAAGTCCTGATCACTTGAGCAGAGACTATTTTTATTATTTTAATGAGCTGATTTGACTGAATTTCCAAACACAAAATCAATGGTTATACAAATGGTTATACATTTCTTCACATTTATTTGCAGTGTTATATTCAGAATCTTGCTAGACTTTTAGTCATTTATGGTAATTGTTAGGTACAGTTTATTTCATTGTCATCAACACAATTTATCCTTGCCTTTCAGTGATTTTTGTGAGAAAGCTTTTGCTAAGAAACTAAACAGCTTTCCAGCCTGCAAAGGAACATTCTCCATGTAAACACATGTTCTTTTGAATACTCACCTTTTCTGTGACCAAATGTAACCTTTTTCTCTAATCAAACCAGCTTTGTAGTTTTTGGCGGCGTGTAGGTTTCTTCATATCCCCTGTTAAGTTCACAGCAATGACTCTCCTCACTGGCAAAAACACTTGTTAAACACGCAAACTAGCTTTGAATTTATGAAAAAGTCCTTCTCACTCACTGTGTGGTGTTAATTGGTGGTGCTTATTATAGGTTTCATTAGCATTGATGTCAGGCACAGAGGGCAGTCCCACCCTGATGGCTATCAATCATCATTGTGCATCTGTGTGTGTATGGGTGTGCGTGCCGTGTACACATCCTATAGCTGCTCAGAAGTAAAATCCCAAGGAAGTGCAAAGCACTCTCAGATGTCTCCCTGAACCCAATTCCTCAATGTCTGTGTGTTATAATTGGATTATAACAGATAAAAAGGGACAAGAGTATCAGTAGGTCAGCTGGCTCTGGTTGCACATGTGTTTTTGTTTGCGTGAAGAACTGGCTGATATTATCAGGTGTATCAATAGCCGTATTTTATTGGGTCAGTATTGATTTGTTCTTGTGTTCTTGGTTTGGTTTTTATTATGGTTCATCCCAGTGATGTAATTCAGAGGCATCATCTGCGTAATATTAAAAATAAAAAATCACTCATGTTTCTCAAATCACACCATTATCACATGGGAGTATGAAATGAGTGTAACTGGCATATTGTGTGTTAGTTTAGTTATATAAAATAAACAAATGTATTTATTTAAACTTTTATACTATATAGAACTATATGATTTTTTTTTGTTATATTATATTATATTATATTATATTATATTATATAAAGGGCATAATTTTCATACATGTCTTCTGTAGAGGACACCAGGACAAACATCATGTTAATCAAGCATTTTGGGGAGACACAGCAAGTCAATAGGGAAAGAAATTATAGATCAATATTCCTATGAAATATTAGATATTCTTATGAAATCGTTGCAAAGTTATTACTCCCATTATTACACTTCTTTTTTCATTATGGTTTGCCCCAAGAACACATTAATATGCAAATTAGATGCAATGTATAAATACATTGTATAGAATAGGAATACCAATTTATGGATATTGTACGCACATATTGCATAAAGTAAAATAGTATATCAAATCATTCTGTTATCATTTTCATAACATAGTTTGGTTAAAAAATAGGGATGCACGGACGGATACCATTTGTTCAGAACCGATTCGATACCAAAAATTCTGAGTATCGGCCAATACTGATACCGATCTGATACACAGTTTTTTTGTGTGTTAAACACAATCTACTAAATATAGACAACTCCATTTTAAAGAAAACTAACAAATAAAAAATATTTAATCATAATATTTGACAAAATACTATTATAAACTAGGTTATAAACTGGATAATTCAGCAGCAAAAGTTACTCTAGAAAAATCATGAGTGCACAATAATTTTATAAAATCTAAACATTTGGTGAAAAAACATTAGTGGGGAACAAATAAAAGTGAATAAGTGTAGGATTCAATATGGTAAATCGTTACACATTGCTCTTTGTATTTTTGTAAAATACATTAATGAAAAACAAGTAAATATAGGCTATTTATAATTATATACAATAAAATTAAAAGACATTTATTTTAAATGTACAGCACCGTAATGAGGCAGCAACATATTTTAGATAGGACAAAACAAGAAAGGCTATTAATAATCTTTTATTGCTCAAAAGTATTATAATATGAAAGGCTCCAATACAGAGCGGAACAAAGTGCTTATGCGCATCTCGTGCGCAGAATGATGTACTTGAAGCGACATGGAGCGCTCGGTATAGAAAAGTTCAAAGGACAAAGGGAAGCGTAGTGTAGCCTGTTATATCTGTGCAACAGTTTGAGCCTTTTCTTTTAACAGTTTCAAATTTCAGTTACTGTGCGCGTGAAGAACATTTCATAGTGCTCTCTACTCCAGTGTTGTGATCTAACAGACACCCGTAGAAAGTAACGTGATTTAGAAACAGCGCTAAACTCCAGCAAGATAAAGTCCTTTTATGCAAAACCATTGATCTTTATCTACAGATCAAATATAATAATAGGAACACTCAATCATCTTGGAGAGTGTGTCATCGTCTTGACTGTCAACCAAACACAACATGCAGTTTGAGAGTGCTGAATGGAGGATGACAGGCAGTCGCAGCCGAGAGAAGAGTTTACGTGAACTTGAATTTAACGACTTTAATACTCATCTGTAGCCTACCTCACATTAAACTATGGAAAACCTTCGTAAGACATGGATTATAGTGCAGTATAGTGTTTCTCATGCTCCAACCAATTTAATGACGTAAAAAAAGACAAAAGTAAATATAGGCTAGTCATTATTAAGTTGAAATCACTTGAGTTTGGTTCGATAACTGTGTAAAGTCCATCAATTATGGAGTGAGTTTAATTCATCTATAAAGCAGCTCTGGAGAAAAGAGTGATGTCATTATCCAGCTCAGCTCAGTTTAGATTCTCATTCAATAGTGTCTGTGCAGTCAAGTCAAAAATATTGCCAAAATTATCATGTGTCCCCATGAGCAAGCCAAAAGGTGACAGTGGCAAGGAACCCAAACTCCATCAATGACACTTTATTTATTTATTTATTTTAATTTTTTTGGGAATTGTCCATTATTAATTGTAAAAAAAAAAGTTAAATGAAATAGTTAGGATATTTTGTGTGTGTATTTTGATCTTTACTTTTGCTAGATGTGTTTGTGCCACCACTCTATTATATAATATAATATAATAGACATTTTTTAATTTAGTTTACAATCATTTAAAATAGAGATGAAATACTACAAGAGAAAGAGAAGTTAAATGGCCACACAATTTTGTTTTTCATGTCAACATTTTATTAGTATTAGTTCAACATCTGTGCCTTTTGCAACATTCTATTATCTTACAATCCGTATGTGTTTGTGTCTAGGTTTGTTTATACGGTTTGGTGTCAAATATTTAAAAACAAAAGTATAGTAAAACCTGTTGAAAACCAACTTCATTTAAAGTGGTTTTCACTAAAATGCTGATACATTTACCAAATCAAGTTTTGCTTCAAATCTAATGTCAACAGGTTTGTGTGATATTTAGGTTTAGAATTTATGATCTTTGTATGAAAACCACTACATCTGTAAGAGCTCCTCACTAATATCATTTTAAAGTCTGTGTGTGTGTGCTTCACTCTGTAGCATACAACAGAAAACCACTAAATGTGTTATAGTGATTCTGATCATCACAGATCCAGCAGCCAGCCTGGAGACCGATGGTAATATGGTCCCCTGCGCTGAGCTGCGCAAGCAGGACGGCAGTGGCCTGGTCCTCCTGGTCCTGTCCATAAATCTCCCTAAGTGCAGTTAGGGCCACACCATTCTTCCTGATACTGGCACAAACAGCCAGCGATGCGCCTGGTGAGCCTGCGTCGCTGAAAACAGTAAATGCCAGGTTATACACGCCTGACCGTGGAACCGTGAACACACCGGTAGATGAGTTATAGGCCTCTCCAATGTTGATAAAGATGCTTTGATAGACCAGATTTGTCGCCATCCTCAACGGACCAATGCAACGTCTTCTGTCAGTTAGACCCACAGAAAACGCCACTCGGTTGTCTAAAGAGTAACATGTATGAAACACACAAAAATTATGACACAAAATAAATAAGGCCAGATTAGATGGAGTTAACAGATAAGATGCAGTTATTACTAGTCAACATGTTTTTTCTTTACTGTTTTAAAACAGGATTTCATTTCAAACTACTCAAATTTCTGTGTTATTTTGCCTGTTTAGTTTGTAAGTGCTAGGAAACGAAAGCTTCTCATACTTTTATTTTGCCCCAGTTAGAGTTACAGTACATAAACACCCCCTCTATATTGAATAAAGATCCATAAAGTTCATTGAGCTTGAGGTGATGTGCTCAAAGATATATATTCAGACAACAACCACATGAGTTCTGGTCAGTCAGGCATGCTAGTGAGAGCGCAATAAAGATATTATTCACACATGATTTCTAACTTTACATTTTGGTGTATTTCATAATGCTGTAAATTTCCATATTATTAAGATTTTCATGGAGACTTGCAAAGACTTACGGTTGATGGGATCTGGAGCAAGGGTTTGTCCTGGTCCATCCCAGCTGAAGGCCTTTTCCTGGCCCAGCACCAGCGGCAACACACAGAGCAGCACAACACCTTGCCCTGATTAAATTGTTCACAGAGGGTAATCACATTCTGTCAGAACTTTGATGATACCGTTACAGTCTGTACGGCACAGAGTCAGTTTGGTTTACGCTCCATGGCTCATGAAAACAGACCAGTGTAACAGACAGTGTATTAAAATTTGTCACTTAACTAGGCCCACATGGAATCTGTCTGCAGTTTTCCCATTTGTTTATGTTAGCTAATTTAATCATTCTTTCGGCAACCAATAAAAGTGTCATAATCGCAGCTCTACTAAACACATTTTACTAGGTTTAAATTGATTTTGTAAGATTCCACAAATTTTTCCAACAAAATCAGAAAAAAGTCTGCAGATTCCATCAGGGCCTGCTAATATCTAACATTATATATATATATTATTGTAATATATTGTAATATTTTATTGTAATATGGTAATTATATATATATTAAAATGTTAGATGGTAAACATTTTAAATATTAAATAAACATTTATTAAAGTTAATTATTGTTTAAAATCTGTAAAAAAAATCTCTTGAAGTTTTTGTTAAAATTGTTTTTTTTATTTAATTCTCTTTCTGAAGCATCTGTGAGTTTCAAATGGACTTGTTTTAGACTAGTTTATAATAAATTAATTGTAATAATTAAAATGTATTTAAACAAATAAAAATAAATAACATAAAATAAAATATTGCCAAAATAAATATTATTCAAAACTTTATGAATTACAAAGCAAGCAACTTCTTTTAACACGTGCAGTGATCTGTCAAGTTTGTCTGTTAGACTTTTACTGTCATAATAAATATTTCTTTACAGAAGCAGTGATTATTTTCTCACCTTTCATGTTTCACAGCTGTTTCTGTTTCTGCCTTTTGGGTCTCAGTGGAAGTGAGTGAAAATTGGAGTCTGTGTTATGTTCAGCTTTATATCCTGGCAGCACTCCTCCTCCTGTATTCAAGGAGGGAGAGTCAGGTTTGTGTTTGTGAAGACTGTGATTTCCCTCAGATGCACTGAAATGCAAAACCCCACAGAGCTTTACACTATACCGCCACACAATGACACGCATCAAATTCGATGAAACTGAACGCAAGATTTTAAAGCGATCAGACATGTGGTTTCCCAGGAAAGGATCTCTGTTTCTTATTGACTGAAGTCCCAGAACAGCTATTCAAAGAAACACACCACACCTCTATCTACAATACAATACAACACAGTCAGAGATGATGCAAAAAAAAATCACAATAATGTGTGCTGTAATTTCAGTCAAGTATTCTCACATGACATTTCTTTATTTGACATTATTTGAGTAGACTCAGTTCAGTGTTTACAGTCTGATAGAGATCTCAGTGCAACAAAGCCATAAAGCTCAAATAGCACACAATAAAGCTCATTTAGCCAGCAAAATAATAACCCCAGCAGAGAGAAAGAAGCACTTAAAGGGATAGTTCACACAAAAAAGAAAATCCTTTCGTTTACTCACGTTCATGCCATTTCAAACCAGTAGAACTTACTTCTGTGCATCACAGAATCAAGAAGATATTTTGAAGAATGTTGGAAACCAAACTGTTTGGTGAAAAAGAAAAAAACACTAGGACATTTTCTCAAAAATCTTCTATGTTCCACAGAAGAAAGAAAATCATACAGGTTTGGAATGGCATGAGCATGAGTAAATGATGACAGCTTGAATTTTTGGGTTATTGTTTGGTTTTATTTAGTCTTAAATATAAATAATATATTACATTTCAGAAAGGCAAATGGGTCAAAGACATAAAAATCAGCTTGTTACCACATGAAAAATCAGTAACATGATGACACACCAGTGTATGACCCCACATCTGTCATCTGTCAACACATCTGTCACTTATTTTTTAAAGGGGTATTGTTTTGAGTGTCGAATGTCTCACTAATTTATGTATTTGGCCACTGCTTTTGTCTAAAATGGCTTGCATTCAAGGTATGTATCTTATCAGCATGTGTTTCCCCTGGGATTCAAGTCGATGTTTTTCAGGTAGCTAGCAGGTATAGACAGACAGACAGACAGGTTGCTACTTGGTGGTATGAACCAGTGTAAAAACAACAAACACGAGCATCACCAAAGAGCGTTTATGATTTATAGATCATTAACTGTGAATTACTCGCAAGTTTAAAAATGATAAAGACACATTTAGCCAGGGGTTTGTTTTTGCAGGCAAGCCACAGCCCAGCTGCTGAAATAAAACCAGGAAGACTTCAGACATGCACTCATTATGTCATGCATAAAGCATTCTTTTCCTTTTATCCCTTCCTCTCATTCATCCTCTTTTACTTTGCTGTCGTAGGAGCCTTGGCCTTTGTATGCTGAAACATATCCGCTGGTATCAGGGATGTCTTCCCTCCCCACACGGCCTTTTCCCTTTCCTGACACTTCAAAGCGCTCCTTATGAGAACCAGTGTACTTGTTGGTGTCTGTTAACCTGTCTACAGCGGAGGCTTTTGCCACTTTCTGTGAGAGAAAGAGATTATCCATGGTTAATGTTTATGTTTATTGCTTAATCTATGAAGACAGACTGTTTTGATTGGCTAGTACTCACAGTGACACCAACGTTGGCGGGTTCTTTGCCGGCAATAAGACTGTAGAGAAGCTGTACTGCCTCGTCCTGGCTCTTCCCTTTAAAACGTTTTGTAGCCAACTCCGCCATGGCTTGAGTGAACTGCTCAAATGTGATGGCGCGTGCTGATTTAACCCTAAAACACATAAGCAGATACAAAACAGCACAATCTTAGGCCCAGTAATGTCTATTGTGCTGCACAGCATTCAAAGAAAAACTGTTCACTGTGAGAATAATCATACTTGACTTTGCTGAAGATGATGTCCACATCTGTGCTGGTGACACTTTTGCCATCGATGACCTTGCAGTCCTTGCACAGCTTAACAAAGTTTTTCCCGTTCATCTCCTTCCCTGTTGCTTTGGTGTCTCCATGCACTGCAAATTTACGAAATGCCGTCTCAACATCTGCCAGTGATACCTCACTGGAAACTTCAGCCATCCTGTCAGATCTAGCATTAGAGAAAGAAAGAATTTTAAAGAAAGACAGAAAAGGGAAGACAGATATTTTAAGGTTTGATTATGCAATTTTTTGATGTTTTATTGCAATATTAGAAAACTGATCCTTCCAACCCTGGCTTCTTATTGATCCAGTTATTTTAGTAGCCTATTATTTGTATACTATTATAGTGTTTATTAATATTTTGAATTAGCATTTATTTAGTCTTTTTTTTAGTTAATTATTTTATTTATTTTTTTGCTTTTGTCATTTTTAGTTTTTAATATTTCTGTTTAGCTTTATTTTTATTTCAGTTTTAGTTTTAGTACTTCAACTTATTTTACATCAGTTAGTTGCCAAGCCAACATTTTTTTCAAGGTTTTCATCTAATTTTTTTTTAATTTAATTTAAGCTTTATTATTATTTTTTTTTATTATTATTATTTTAATAGTTCCAGCTGTAAATCCTTGACATGGTAACATCATCTATGTGCACCTGTTCATGTGCAGCCATAACAGATCCTGATTTTTGTTACATTCTAGATCTTCTACTGAAAGATGCCACATAATGAACTTGCTTAGCATTTTAATGAAAATATGTGTACTTTGTGTATTGTTTTATATGTATATATATATATATAATAGTTTTAATTAATATTTTGGATTAGTTTTTATTTTTATATTTTATAAATATATTAAATGTATTATCATTTTAATTTTATGCAGGACTGCGGCTCTCTAGGACCGAACTTGCCTACCCCTGCTCTAATGGCTTCAGGGCACCTCTGTCTAATGTCTCTGAGCAACTCATCACTTACAACACAACCACATTATATATTAAGACCTACTCACAGCAGATCACCATTGCTGACAGCACAACTAAAGGAACAATGACTGTTTACACTCTTAAATAAAGGTTAATAAAGAAGTAAAGTTTTCGGCATTGATGGTTCCAAGAAGAACCTTTAACATTCATGGAACCTTTCCATTACACAAAATGTTTATAGTTATACACTTTATAGAGTATAAAGGTTTATTCAGATTATTAAAATATTCTTCACACTATAAAACATGGTTATTTTAAGAACTTAAAAAGCTAGGTTCCTTGGGGAACTCAAGTGGTTCTTCCATCGCAATGGTTCAAAAAACTTTTGGAACCCTGATTTTTAAGAGTGTACATGGACAAGAATAATTGGAACTTCATCATATTCCAGTTGGAAATGTAATGGCATTAACAATGATTGCAATAACCAGATTAGGCCAACATATTATCTACCATAACCATAACAGATCCTGATTTTTGTTACATTCTAGATCTTCTACTGAAAGATGCCACATAATGAACTTGCTTAGCATTTTAATGAAAATATGTGTACTTTGTGTATTGTTTTATATGTATATATATATATATAATAGTTTTAATTAATATTTTGGATTAGTTTTTATTTTTATATTTTATAAATATATTAAATGTATTATCATTTTAATTTTAGTTTTAGTAATTTTGTTGTGTCACTTTTATTTTTTTTTTCAA